TAAAATTTACCAAATATTGTAATATAAATGACCCTTCTTCCACTTGGCAATCATGAGACATGTTTTCGTAGAAGCTTCCACCTTAAGTAAACGTACAGTAAGTCAATTTTTCCATTTCGATTTCGTTTCCAAAATTCTCAACAAACCTCGAATGCACTTTCACTTTAAGACCTTCCACATGACCTCTGATAATATATTTTCCCAAACCAATTACGTCATTCTTTTCGGGTCTGTATTGTCTTCCTTCTTTCAGTTTATATGATATTCCATACTTTAAACACTCTCAGTCTGTTCCAGTTCATATTCTAAATTAATCCCTTTCCTTTACCTTGGTATGTCTATTTTTCTGGGCTGGCGATGAGCTGAAAATACTCTGTGTTGATTGAAACCTGTAAAACCGATCAATAAAATTATCACCCAGTCTCTTCAGTTTCTTTCTTTGCATATACAAAATATCTCACCGTTAATGGCTCGGAAGGTGAAAACAGCTAACGGAGTTCGAATTCCGAACGGGTTCAATAATTTCACTTTTGCACCAATACCCTTAGGAGAGTTATGAATTAATCTCCTTCCCCCAGCTATAGGTTAAATAGCAGAGCAGACTGTGCTCACACTGGGTTCACAAGCGAATATATATAGTGGAGTTTTTAGACAGTCTGTGATTCCGACTGCACTCGATATGATACATAGCTTTATACAGTTAATAAGCAAATAAAGTTAAGATGACTGTGTTCTGTTAAATTTGCCTTGAAAATCAAAATTTCCAAATGTTTGCTTTTAAGTGGATTCGAAGCACCGCAATTGACGTGCGTTTTATGTGAGCTTAACAACCACAACAACTTAACCCGATCGCTTGATAAATCGATATAGTTTTGTAATCTTTTTGAAAAAATATTTCTTTCTGATTTTTCTGCTCGCGAAATGGATTTTATGGTCGAGCTGTTCTTCGAAGAAGATTGCCAAAAATAAAACCTGCCATTGTCCCCGCCCTCACCAATTCTCGTCTTTATTTCGAAGCATTTCCCTTTTAGGATTATATGGGCGACTGAGTGTGTGTAAGTGAAGATACAGAGTACATGTCTATGTGTCAGTGTGTTTGTATTTATGCTTGTGAAACAAAGATAACGCCGAGGCAAGTCAGCTAAAGTGCTTGGCACCCTCCCCCCAAAAGAACAAACTACAAGTATATAATTTTTGCGTATTATAGGTACGTTAAAGTGCATAGTGGCTTGATAGTTATCAGCATAAAAAAAGGAAATTCGCGAACTGTTCCAACTCTAGTTGTAACATTTTGCGTCCATTTAAGAACTAATATATTCAAGAAAGTCATAACTTCATTTCTCTCTTCTCTCTGTCCTATCGGGAGTATCCCTGATCATTGCTTGTCACAATGTTTACTGGAGTCGAAAAAGGATGAATAATTATTTGAACAAATCAGGAAGGTCTCCTTTCACAGATACGTAACTTATCTACTTTAGATGACGCAGTAAAATAGCTGTTAATATCATTGTCAAATTTAATAAAGTCTACTAAAGTAATAAATGTAAATTAACAGAACATTTCGCAATAGATCAATGCTTAGCGTTAAGCAACATCGAGTTTGGTCAGTACCTAAATGGGTAACCGCTTGGGAATATCAGATGCCGTAAATTTGATGTAAGTGGTGGAATGGTTAATGGTTCAGCATTGTTTATCGAAGAAATGAGTTCCAAGTCATAGATTCGTTATATTAACTTATGCGTAAATACCCTTGGGAAAGGTATTAAACCTTCTCTTTACTCCCATCTATTGGTTAATTAGTAAAACTTGTGTCGCTAACACCATTATTATCTTTAAAAATTAAAGACATTTAAAGTTGAAACAAACTAAGTTTTAAAGACATTTCAAGTTGAAATAAACTAAGATTATAAGATGAGAAAGTACACAGAAAAGATAAAGGCGTAAGACAAGGCTGCATCTCCTTACCGGATTTATTTAACTTGTTCAGCGTGGTGATGTTAAAGAGAGCTGGAGTTTTCCCGTCATATCTAACTAAAGCGAAAAGAAAGGACTAACCGTATCGTATGAAAACAGAATATATGATTATTATCAAAATACACAGCAATTTGTGGGAAACTAATTGTCATAGATAATTTATTCATTTGGATGACACTAATGTGACATCCGCATCCGATTTTACTTCATGTCAAGGTGAAAATTAAAGTTTTCTTTTTATTTTAAACTATGACGGTAATTCAGACATTGACGAAACTGTAGAGTTTTATTATCCGACCGTCTCAACGTAGTGCAATTATTATGAAGAGCGTAAGAAGTTTGGTACATAATAAATGCTCCGTAATTGGACTTATGCCAAACACACTCGACTCAGTGTTAATGTCTTGATGAATAATGAATAATCTAATAATGACTTTATTGGAAGAGTCTAATCTTATCAGCTAAAATATCACGGACAAAACAGAATCACAGGGACGGAGTGTTAAGGTCATGTGTTTTAATATCCGTTGTATTTAAATCTTACGGCTAATCAATCCCTAAGAGAACTAGAAATCCTACCAGGATTTATTTTTGATGAGCCCAACATTAACCACATAAGATATGCATATACCACCGTAGTGATGTCAGAAAAAAAATCTTTAAGGACTTCTAGATAAAGGAAAGTGAAAAGAAAGGGCTAACTATGAATGGTAGGATTTGGTTTGTTGATTTTGTTTAGCATATATTAACCTCTATGGGTTATTTAATGTCGAAAATTTAATTATTTTAGACGTAATTAAATGTTTTTCATTTACAAATAAAATGTATTGTTGGTCATTTTGCTATAAGATGTATTGTTCATAATTCTACTATAAACATGTATTGTTGAAAATTTTACAATATGAAAATTTATTTCTGGTATTTTTATTATAAAAAATATTTTTATACTTTCATAGGTTTTTTTTTTCACTATTTGGCCATAACTGTCACCCTAGAAGGTCGAATCGTACGAATACAGCGTATGATTATTATCATGTTAGACAACCGAAAGATGAAAGCTGCAAATTAAAGAAATCAAAATAAAGCAATTACTAGAATTTGACTATCTGGGAAATTTAACAGAAATCTGAAGGCACAATGGAATAACGTAAATTGCCTTCCAACAACAAAACAAAATCTGAAAAAATTGAAAAATTTAAGAAAGTTAACAGATCTGATTTTCTATATAATATCAATCTTTTTTTAGCTTTGAACGCTGGACAGTTTCCTCATAGATGAAGAGATAGACTTGATTAAAGTGATTTTGTACAATGGTTTGAAGAATACCATGAACTAAACATGAGTATAATGCGTACGTTTTAAGAAACATGTGAATAAAAAACAACATGTGAATAAAAAAAGGATAGTATTTTTGGCTATTTGAATTTATTCCGTCTACATCAATCATATTCTTGGATATATATATATATATATATATATATATATATATATATATATATATATATATATATATATATATATATATATATAGTCTGAACAGTCTATCGCTATTTCCATGACAAGTGTTCATCCAGGCCCTTCCCCATCCTTACCCTTACAGTTGGGACTTACCATACAACGTAAACAAGAATAATTCATCTGCATTCTCTTCGTATTCTATTAGCAAGAAAAAGCTCCATTCGACAGTTTCTTCACGAACTCGCACCACTCTTTTGTGGAACAGACTTCCACGAGAATGGTTCCTGATCACTATAATCTGTTCATCCAGATTTAGTCGTTATCATTCTTACATGTCCTTTTTTACCTGCTCCAGAAAAAAAAATCCTATACCTTAGCTCTATATATTCAGTGGCGCTTGGGCCTTGTTTTTGATTCATTTATTCGTTTTCTACGGCTTATCAACCTATTGTAGGTTATTTCAAACTAGAAAAAATTTGAGATAACGTCTAGTGATACAAATCTTACTAATTAACCCATAGTTGGGGAAGAGAAGAGGAGATTCCTACTTTACGTAAGGCTATTTGCCCGTTAGTGAATATAACAAAACCAACAAGAATTATATGACTCTATTAATCTTTCCGACATTATCCATTACTCTAACCGTCCACCTGCTTACATCACGTGGCATTCCCACGTGCCTTGGTCTTTGTATTGGGTAAACACCACTCACTTATACTAACCCCCCAGGAAAGTGACTCATTGCGACTTTTAGAACTAAGGTTTTCTGTGAAATGATTAGGTTGAATTAATTGCTATGTCTGTAGCTATGTCACGCTAGAATCTATCTTGCATATTTTTTTTTTAAATCGGCACCCCCGACAAGCAAGGCTGTAATGCCATTAAAACACAAGGGGTTACAGGGTGTTGAAGAATTAGGAACAGAAACATTAATGATGAGCAAAAAGATATTTAAAAGTCTACCATTCGATCTTCCTTTGAATATTGCTGCCTCATCTGATCTGGTGCTCCTGCTATATATTTAGAGATGAAACTGCAATGTTATTGTTCCTGAGCTGGCATCTTGTCTTCAGTCACTTTCCTAGCGCTCTAACGTAGCGATAACTTTTCTATAAATAATTTCATGGTACTTTTTAGTATTTATGAAATACCAGATTATGGGAAGAACTCATCATTTTACAGTGAAAATGGCTGATGTGATTGTAACTTCTCTGCTAACAGTTTCATCTATCACACTTATCGCTTGTGAACTCTCTTCCGGCTTCTGTTTAACAGTCAACTTTGAGCTTTAAAAATTTAAATGCAATGTCAGTCGTAATCTTTTGTCTTCTTAATTCTTGCACTTTTATTGTACTGTCTCTCCATAATAGTGTTTCTTATATTCTCTAAAACTAGGTAATCCTTTGCGTCTTAGTGACTTTATTGCTTTGCTTGGGGTGAAATGATTAAAAAATGTATATATCCCATAAACCCAGGAGATATTTTGAACTATGAACTTTTTTTTGGGTAATTTCAAAAAAATAAAATAAAATAAAATAAAAAAACAGGAAGAAGACGGAAAGTCATGTATGCGATCAGATACGTCATGCATTACTTGCTTAGCTTTTTCATTTTATACGAGTTTGAGTAATATATATATATATATATATATATATATATATATATATATATATATATATATATCTTAATAGAAATCTTATGTGTATAAGAAGAAACTATACTCGCTCGTCGCTCGGAAAACCTTCGGTATATTAATTTGCAAATAAACAAGCCGGCCTTCTGACGATCTGCTTAGGTGAAACCTTGGTAGGTTTGTCTGGCTCTCTAGGTTTAACTATATATATATATATATATATATATATATATATATATATATATATATATATATATATATATTTGTGGGTGTGGGTGTTTATAACACTAAGTAGCACTAAACAGCCATTAATATAATTTAGTGCCTTTGAACTAAAAGATATTAAGTTGAAATTGATTATCTTATATGAATATAGGTTTTCTATAGCATCAAATACGGCTTATTCATTTCCTCCCATATTGACGAGATAGCATTCTGAGCTTTTTTTCTTAATTTTCTTTTACGCAGATTGTCCATTCGGTACGTGGGCGATCATCGCTCTCATAACTTCCTATCTTTTGTAGATCTTAGCAAGCTCTGGCTTTTTCACTATCTCCCAATTGTTTCCTCTTCTGTTATCCATTTACTCAGGCTCGTTATGTATATTACTCCCCAGCTTCCCCTGTTTCTCTTGCCCTCAATATGTCCTGTGAGTGTCAAATTCTCAAGCCCTATTTCCTCATTATTAAAGACAGCCATAAACGCCAGCTGTCTCTATTAAGTAGAGGCAGTTCTAATTTCTATATTCACTATGCTGTATTTATTAACATTTCAAATAATATGAAACTGTATTCGGTAACATTCTAAGCAAAAAGTACAATCATCCCTTTCTGAAGAAGTTTAATGCAACCACAGCTGGAAGGCCCTGATCAGGAGATATTGAGGGCGTGAAACCCCCTATTAATTGGGGTGGTAGCACTTGTTAGGGTCCCAGCTATGGGCAAATAGTTAACTATTACCAGCAATACTTTTTTGAAAAATTTATACCAGCAATACAATTTTGGAGGAAATATATTACCAGATACAGATTTTTGACAAAACAAAATATTACTTGCAATAAAAGTTTTGTCAGCATTAAATAACCCATTGAGGTTGATATGCTGTAAAACAAAATAAACTAAACCAAAGCTGGAATTCGAACTCAGTTCAACAGACTCATTTCCCGCCGATAACTTACATCATCTTGCACTTCTACGCTTATGAAAATCCTGATAAAAAAAATCAGTGATTCGTCGAGTCACATGCCATTTTGCATAAAAAAGATGTATTTATTATGAGCAATGCTATGAAGACACAAGCATATTTATGAGAATAAATGTCCGAAAATACATACTGAAGACAATGTACAGGGTAAAACTTATTTGTAGCTTTCTGGATATGGAGGTAAAATACTTCCTCTCTTAGATAAAACCATGCACACGCTTAATTGAATGAGAAGCAATACTTTTCAATGAAAATCTAAAAAAAAACAGTGTCAAAATCAAGATCGGCGAAGCAGAATTTTTCTTCTTTTGTCATTGTACGTTTAATTGTACTGTGGATCCCAGAAGATAAAGAGCAGTTAAGCATCCACACCCCCGTTCCATAGACGCACAAACAGAGGAAGAAAAGCTTTCGTAGACACACATACATAGACAAGAGCATAAAAGAGTAAGACAAGATAAGATAAGTGGCGGAATCAAAGGAATTATTCTATTTTTAAGGTTCGCTGCCATCTTTCAACTCCATTACACACGACTTGATTATTTGCTTTCTTTTTGATGTATTGACCTTTTCTGAACTTTTATTCATTCGTGCTTCATTGCTTTCATCGATCTCCATATTACTTCTTTTTTTCTTCTTCTTCTTCTTCTTCTTCTTCTTCTTCTTCTTCTTCTTCTTCTTCTTCATTCGTATTTTAAGTTGCCTTTCACGAATTTTTTCTTCGTTTATCTCTCTATATTGTACTTTTCCATCACATTATTGTTCATTATTCTTTTCTCACTTTTGTTTTTTCACTTTTCTTTTCTATCATTCGCTAGACTTCCTGTTTCATTTTTACCCGATCTTGACATTCTTCTGCTTATCGAGTTAGTGGACGGCACCAGAGCTAATAATTTAGTTCAAAAGAGTGTATGCCTGTATTTATCTGCTAAATACTAGAGGAATATATAGAATGTTTATTAAAAAAAAAGGCTTTATGTATTCTAAATTTAAGATATCCAGACAGAACTGGTTTAATATACAGCAATATGGACATTTATATTACTTGAAAAGTATTAAGTCTGCGAAGATGGCCACATGACTTGGAAAACTTGGCATAAAAATATTAGGCCACTGTAAGAATTCTGATGTTAAGAGATTGCAAGAACATGTCACTGGAATGAAAATTACACTTCAAAATGATTTAAAATATTGTGACACGTGTATTAAAAAAAAAAATGACTTAAACTTTTTGCCGAATATTCAGGGCTTGTGATATACGTTCTGAAAATAAATTTGATAACCTGCAAGCTACAAAAATCTATTTATCCGATAGCTCCCCGCATGGAAAATTAAAAATAATTCGGACAGATAATGGTGCAGAATTTACTTCTGATGCTTACAAAAACCTCCTAATAAATTAAATAAATGAAGGCATTAAAACATGAGAAAACTGTTCTTATTCTCCGCATAAGAACGGAGTCGCTGAACGCAGTTGGAGGACACTTTTGAAATGGCTAGATGTTTGTTAATAGAATTTAAATTACCCAACAAGCTGTGGTTTTATGCATTAAGAAAGAAACTAAAAACCCATGAGAGCCCAATGTGAGTGATATGCATATTTTTGGTACAATTTGCTATACATATGTTGACCACGGTGTGGAACTAGATCCAAAAAAGTGAAAGGGACATATTTATTGGATATGAAAAAGCCAGGTCCAGCCTATATGATTTATTTTCCACAAACTAAAACGATGAGGAAGATTAGATGCGTCAGATTTACAGATTCTTTTGTGCGAGGGGAGGAACCCGAAGAAAAAAAAACAAAAAAAGTATATTAATTGCGAGGAACTAGTCCAACCCAAATTAGTATGGCCGAATTATGGGTAGAAAACCCGTTCAGAGTCCACAAGCAGAGGAAGGTACTATACCAGATGAGGTATACGAGAAAAAAATCAGGTGCAAATTCCGACAAAAATGGAGGAAACCCAGACTATTTTGAAATGATACAATGTAATATTAACTGTTGTTATGCGGTACAAATGTATCTCAAAGAACTACCAAGAAGCCATACATTCTGTCAAGACCATAGCGGCCATGCCTTCAAAAGACAAATGAAGAAATTTAATCTAAAATAAATGAAAAAATGAAATAAATTAAATCTTTAGTATTAAGGGACATTGATTTTGAATCAAAACGCCTCAGATGATAGAAATATCATCGGCAGCCGTTGGGTTTACACTGTAAAGCGAACTGAGAATGGATCGCCAGTGTGCGATCCTCGTTTTATAGCTAACGGATTTTCATAGATATAAGGGCGGGGGCGACTTATGTAGAAACATTAAGTCTTAATTGATGATAGAAATATCATCGGCAGCCGTTGGGTTTACATTGTAAAGCGAACTGAGGATGGATCGCCAGTCTACAAGGCTCGTTTTTGTAGCTAACGGATTTCCATAGATATATGGAGTAGATTATAAGAGAGGGGGAGAGGACTTATGTAGAAATATTAAGTCTTAATTAGAGTTTTGATGCAAATGGATGCCCATTATGGTAAGGATTTACATCATATGGATGTTAAAAGAGCTTATTTCTAAATGCTACCATCGACTATGAAATATATATGGAACCACCAGAAGGTTTTGAAGAAAGGTGATAATTATGTATGGAAACTTTAAAAAAAAAATCACTATTTGGACTCAAAATGAGTGGAAAAACATGGAATAATTTAAATCCATTGTTATTTAATGAGACAATAATTTCAATCTCACCAAGTTGACCCATGTCTGTACACGAAGACATTTAATAATGAAATATTAGTAATTCTGGTTATTTGGGTCGAAAATATGTTAATTGCATCAAAGAGTGAGGCCACTCTATTAAAAATCAAGAGTTCTCTAGAAATGAGTTTTAAAATTACCAATTTGGGTCGACTATCATGTTTTTCTTGGTATACAGTAAAAATTTAAAAGGCAACACTATTTCAATGAATTAATCGAGATATATGGAAAGGCTTTTTATCGAAATTTAACATGCAAAATTATAAAATAAGAATTATTCCATGAAATGGATTGAAACATAATTATGAATAAGGAAGATGGTATAGCGGGTGTGAAAATGAATACAGAACATTGGTCGGAAGTCTTATTTGCATGATGATATAAACTAGGCAAGATATCTGCCATACGGTTACTAAGTTGTCCCAAAACTTAAATAAACTGGGGACTGTACATTTAACAATTTTTAAGCAAGTATTACGTTATCTGAAGTGGACTAACAGTCGATGCCTAGTATTTTGACAATCCAATAAACTATTAAAATTGAAAGGATTTTGTGATGCTGATTGGGCCAATTCACCAGACCGTAAGAGTATAACAGGCTATTGCTTTAAGCTAGCAGATGGTAACCCAATAATCAGCAGGAATTAAGAAACAGCGAAAGATTTCACTTTTTACTTGTGAAGCTGGATGTATTGCATTGTGAAAAGGAACACAAGGGGTTATTTTTCTTAAATTGCTAATAAAAATAATATTACAATAATGGCAATAACTGAACCGATAATTATTTACTCGGCGATCAGGGCAGTATTGCTTTGGCTAGAAATTCAATATTACATCAAAGATCAAAAACATATCAATATAAAATATCAGTTTGTTAAGGACCAAGTAGAAATGAAAACAGTACAAATTGAATATGTTCAATCGGGAAATAATATGGCGGATTTATTTGTAAAAACCGATTACGAAATTGAAACTACGGGCTTTTTGCTTCTGCAATATTTAGTGCTGACTTCTTAGGTCCTTATTGGTCCTGGGCAAGACGTAAAACTGCATCCATTAAGGCCCTTATTAGGTCCTGAGCAAGACGTAAAACTGCATCCATTAGGGCCCTTATTAGGTCCTGGGCAAGACGTAAAACTGCATCCATTAAGTCCCTGTAAGGTCCTTATTTAGGTCCTTGGTAGGACATAAAACTGCATCCATTAGTTACTGTCCTAAGAAACGTCAGTTCAGTTTTTGGTATGAATGTAAGTCCTTAGTTTCGGGGTATAAATGTAAATGGTCCTACTTTGAGCCTAATCCTCTTCTGAATGATTTTCAGGATCACTCTGATCCGGAGTGATAGTAACTGTTTTAATGGGTCCCAGCTATGGATAAAATAACAATTTTTCACTTTTTAATAACTCTTTGGATCACTCTGACCCGGAGTGATAGTAACTGTGTTAATGGGTCCCAGCTATGGGTAAAGTAACTATTCTTTCCACTTTTTGTTGTGATCGCAATCTAAACTTATAATATTGTTATTCATGTTTTATTAACCCGTGATAAAGTGATATGACTAATTTTTTGTGGATATTAATTTTCAAGAAAAATAAAAATAATATAAAAAAAATTAAATTAAAATTTGGAATACTAAAGTATTTGTTACATATTAATATTAACTTTAAAAAATAAAAGAAAAAAATTAAAAAGAAAAATTTTTTGGAATTAAAGTATTTATTAACTTTACTAATATTTTGAAGGAAGATTCCATAATATACCCAAAATAAGTGGGGGCTGTTACAGTTTTTTATGTATATACTATGTAACTAGTGAGCGAGTCAAAATGATTTAATTCCTTTATAGTCTACAAATAGAAGGTAGACCAATCAGAAGCCGCACAGGACTGTATCCGTCGTGTATAAAGGCGGCCATCTTTGTTTCCCTCTCAGGAATGACCAGAGGCAACTTGTCCGGCGAACATGACAGACGGAAGAACTACATCTCTGCTACTTTGTTGTGATATCCACTGCGAACCTAAAAGTACGCTTTCCTACTGTCTCCGAAATATTCACTGCCAACCTCTGGATTTTATACTCGAGGACGACCGTCATGAAAATGTCTAACAATATATATATATATATATATATATATATATATATATATATATATAGTGAAACTTTAATGCTAATAAAAAAGAAAATCATATTTTTCCACTATCTTTAATGACCCTACTTGAATGTTTTTTTAAAGCAGTCTTCTAGATCAACTGACTTACTATAAACAGAATTTTATATTATAATTACTTATAAGTAAAAAAAATAGACATTAGAGTACCTACTCTATAAGTTGTAATTACATTAGTAATTACTCTACTCTATAAGTAGTATTTATATTTTATTTCATATAAAATTGTTTAAAATTTATTCCTTTAGTGATTAAACGTATCATATTTTTTTTATTTATTTATCAGCATATCAACTCCTTATGAGTCATTTAATTCCCGAATTTTATTTTCTTGTGAGCTTTTAAATTTTTTTTATTTATTGCTGGTAATTTTTTATTCTTTTATTATGAAAATGCATTGCTGGTATTTTTTATTGTTTTATTATGAAAAAGTATTGGTGGTATTTTTTTCTTTTTTATCATGAAAAAGGTATTGATGGTAATTTTGATTCTTTTATCATAAAAGGTATTGATGGTAATTTTGCTAGTGTATATTTTTCGTTTTTTGACCCTAATTTGCTACCAATCAGGATGTTAGAACTAACTCCCGTTGTTCCCTTTAATATAATCTATTTTTTCACACAATATAAGGATCCACTTTCTAAGAGGAGAAATTAAGAAATGCCAATTGTGAGGACATGTAACCCTAGTCTTTGGGAATTGAAGATTGTCGAGCATTCCTTTGAATGTCTGTTCCAAAAAGTAGCGGTTTTGGGGAAGGAACTCACACAGTGGAACTTCTTTTTACTAATGGTATACGAAAGAGATGGTGATGG